CCCTCCTTTTTGTTAATGTTAAATTTTATTTTAAACTGACCAATTAAATTATTACTTTTATTCAAACTTTTTCCATCTGGGTTTTTAATGTTGCCTCCCCTTCTCCTGGCTGAGCTGGGTCGTAACATTAATGGGGGCTCGTCTGAGATATTTAATGTAATCCTGTAACTTAAAAGTGGCGATTGTTTAGTCAGTTTAGCTGAGTGACATTTTTGGTTGAGCAGCTGCAACTTGTTGCACTCGTTAAGCATGGCACAGTTTGATCTTGAGCAGTTTTTAAAGTGTCCCTCTCTTGATCAGCTGGAGCTTTGCCGTAAAGATGATTTGGCTCAAATTGCAGCCCATTTTTCTATTTTTTGCTCAAAGCAACTCCTTAAAAAGGAATTAAAGAACCTTGTGATGGAGAGACTGGTGGAGCTGAAACTTGTGCTTCCTGAGATTTCTACTGATGAACCTGCTATGACTTCTGTTGGCACGTTGCCATCTGCTGGTCCCTCTGCGGCTGCTCGTCCCCCTCTGCGGCTTCTCGTCCCCCTCTGCAGCTGCTCGTCTCCCTCTGCTGCTGCTCGTCTCCCTCTGCGGCTGCTCGTCTCCCTCTGCGGCTGCTCGTCCCCCTCTGCGGCTGCTTGTCTGCAGCTGCGCCTCTGCGGCTGCTCGTCCTTTCACTCTGTATTTCTTGTGCCCTAACCTTTTGGTTTAGGTTTTAAGGGGGGAGGTGTTATGGCCTGAGGCCATTTGGTTGAGCAAAACAAGTGTTTGCAAGTTGATTGCTGACTCAGCTGTGCTGTGGCCCATCTTGGATTGGCTGCTTCACTTCCTGAATTCTCCCCAGTGGACGTCAATCTGTATCCTGGTTGGCTTCTTCACCTCCTGCTCCTCCAACCACAGAAGAGGCCTGCCTATTTAAACCCAGCTCTCCTGCCATTCAGGGCAGCTGTTGTTTAGAGCAGCTCGCCACTAGTATGGGTTTCTGTGTCTTTGGACTCTGGTCTCTTGACTTGAATTGTTTGGCTTTGGCTAACAGTTAAATCCTGCAGTTGCAGTGGTTGTCGGTGTTGTTTGTAAGCCCCTGAAAACAGTTAGGTTTACTTGTTTACTTTTGTTTTGACTCATTGTAAATTTGGTTTGAATATTCATTCACTTGGTTAACCTTAATTTTGTTATTGACTTGGTTGTGAAAACTTTGTTGTAATTTGTACTTTGAAAATACCCCTCCTTTTTGTTAATGTTAAATTTTATTTTAAACTGACCAATTAATTTACTACTTTTATTCAAACTTTTTCCATCTGGGTTTTTAATGTTACCTCCCCTTCTCCTGGCTGAGCCGGGTCGTAACAAGTGCAGTCAGAGAGATATGATTTGAACCAGTCTAACGGAGTACCTGAGATGCCAATGGAGGTTAGTCTGTTGAGGAGGGTAGAATGACAGATTGTGTCGAAGGCAGAACTTAGATCAAGTAGAATGAGAATAAACAGAAGACCAGAGTCAGCAGCAAGAAGAAGGTCATTAGTTATTTTTATTAGAGCTATTTCGGTGCTATGGTGGGGGCGAAAACCAGATTGAAATTCTTCATAAATGTTATTTTTGGATAGGTGAGAGTGAAGTTGACTAGTAATGGCTTTTTCAAGAACCTTGGAAATAAAGGGCAGATTAGAGATTGGACAAAGATTACTGAAGTTGGTAAAGTCAAAACCTGGTTTCTTGATGATGGGGTGATGGCAGCAGATTTGAAAGCTGTGGGAACAATGCCAGAGGTTAGGGAGGAGTGGATGATGTTAGTGATGATGGGGAGCAGAGACGGGAGACAGGATTTAACAAGAACTGTGGGAAATGGATCAAGGAGGATGAGGAGGACTTAGACTTGCTGATAATGTCAGCAATGTCATCAGCAAAAGGGAGGGGGACAATCTCTGTTCCAGCATGATTCTGTCTTTCATTCCTCTTGTCTCAAGAGCATACATCCACCTCTCCAGGCTCTCTTCCACCTGCTACCTAGTCTCACTATAGATGTCAGTAAACTTAGTCCATAGTAATGGGACCCCTGCCTACCCTCATGCGGGGATAGGTGGTCAATTTGGCCCCACCTGAATCCATTTGTTCCTCTCACTGTACATCTCACCACTGTCGTTGACCTTATACACATCCTGCCCTCACATACTTGCCCACTACTTCTGACTTCCTCATACAGAACTACACTTTTCTCTCTTGGCCACCAACCATATGCTTTCTCTAAATCCTCCAAGACAACGTGTAATTTGGTCTCCTATATTATGAAGTTGTTTCCTTAAAACACTTGTTACAAATTATATTGTAAAAATAAACATCAAACTGGTGATTCACATTTGCAATTTTGTAATATTGGAAATTTACATATGTCATGTCACATTTGTAAATATCTTAGACAACATGTCATATGTACTCATTTGCATGTCTACACAATACACAAATATTTACACATTCTAAAACTGTTGCATTTTATAATGTGTAAACCTATTACCCCCCCCCCACACACACACACACACACACACACACACACACACCCACACTCATTTGAGAGCTTTTGATGCATACAGTTCAGTTTTCAAAAGTTTTCAGGTAAAGATGAGTATACTGTGTACATGACCTCAGTAAAAGTGCACAGTATAGTGTGTAGTCTGAGTCAGGGTTTCTTTATTTGTCATTCGCACCACATGTGGTACATGTGGTGGAACGAAATTATGTACACAGGGTCCCAGTTACTTCCAACAACACTGTTCATTCAACCTTTATTTAGACAGATAAGTCACATTGAGCCTAGAAGACTCATTTACAAGTGAGACACAACTAGACAAATGTAGGAATTGGAGGCAAAAAAATTCCTATCAGAA